GACGCTCTCCATGGCAAGTACACACAAGCCTCGGAACAAGATTTTTGGGATGCCCATGAGCACCTGCCAGCAATATGAACCCTTTTTTGATTCTGCAATAATGCCACAAGATATTTATCTTCGATATTTATGCTTCTTCATATAAGACAGTGATTCTCATGTAGGGCGATGTGGCACCCTGGGCGCCTTAAGATCCTTTCCAGGGTGCTGCGGGGTACCACGCAGTGTTAGCACTGTAAGAAGTGCAAAAATGAATTGCAAGATAAACCCAGAGATTTCAAACAGAAACCCAGAGTGTTAAAACCATTCTGACCTGTTGTGGGCTTTCACAGTTCTTAGTAACGGATGAATGGCTCTAGGATTTTTCCGTAGTCAAAAAATGAGTGAAAACTAAGATGGTGTTATCTGAGGGAGCCTTGAGTCCAAGGAGGAGAGCCTTGAGTCTGAGGGAAGCCCTGAGTCTGAGGCGGGGAGCCCTGAATTGGATGGGAGCCTTGAATCAGAAGGGAGCCTGGAGTCTGAGAGGAGCCTTTCATCTGAGGTGGGGAGCCATGAGTCTAAGGAGAGGAGCCTTGAATTGGGGGGAGCCTTGACTGGGAGCCAGGGAGTCTTGATTGGAGGGAAGCATTAAATCTAAGGAGGGGAGCTTTGGGTCTGAGGTGGGAAGCCTTGAGTCAAAGGAGCAGGGCCTTGAGTTTGAGGGGAGTCTCAACTCTGAGGCAGAGCACCTTGACTGGAGGAAAGCCTTGAATATAAGGAGCAGAGCCTTGGGTCTGACAGGTAGGGTTGCCACTCTGTTTGAAACTATTCTGGGAGTTTTTCTGGAAGGCCAGCATGCCCACAACACAAACATGCCCATGTGCTTGTGTATATCAGGTCTGGATTATGCTGTGTAGACTTTAAATCAGGAAGGAAAATGCACCTTACATTTAAACAACCCACTGGACTACTGTACAAAGCAAATTCAACAGTTAATATTTATTTGAAGGAATGCCCTATCCTTGATCTCCTGGGTGACTCTCAGCAGCCTCCTGGAGATTTAGATCTAATCCCTGAAAACTCCAGGGCAATCCTGGGGGGTTGGTTGGCAACCCTACTGCCAGGAGCCTTGATTTGGAGGGGAGACTAAGGGGGAAAGCCCATAATCTCACAAGAGAGCCTTGAGTCTGAGGGGAGACTTGACTTTAAGAGGGGAGCCTTTTGGTGGAGAGCAGCATTATGTCAGTCTGTGGGGAAGAGTCTCGCGTCTCTGCTCGTGCCGCTTTACTCCTTCTTTACTCCTCCTCCCCATTCCCTAACTTGTCCGATTTCTCTCCTTCCTGCCCCCTGCCTGCCCCCCTTCCTCTCCCAGCACCTGCCCACGTGGGCGGGGTGGGGGAGGGGGCACGCGCCCAACCGAGCTAAGG